CGTAATTTTGGCGTAATTTCTTAAATGCATTTATATATTTCGCGAGTTTCCGCGAGAGACTTCACAGTCCTTCTTGCTGGTCTTTAAAAAATTTTTTACGAGATAAACAATGGTAATATTATCAACTTCCAGTTTGAACCGGAAGTTAATAATAATGATATTAACTTTGGGAAACAGCATAGAGAGAATAAATCACATGAGGTATTATAGGATAGCTCTTTTAAAAATAAAAGTTTTGTCTCATTTTTTTTTATTTAATGTACCGTTTCATCGGTACAAGTTGTCTAACCCTGAAAAATTACATTTTATGAATAAAATTTTTTCTCCATCACAGGTAATAAAAAGGAATTTTTAACATTTTTCATAGTAAAAGCGATTTCAGCTTTTTAGTTGAATTTTTCCACATATTGATCTATAGACAATAGACATTACTGGTCCAAAGTTTGTTAACGCTTCGGCGTTTATCGTTATGAAAGGTCGATTTGACGTTTCATGTTAAAGCTATCAAGTAGTACTTTCTCCGGACGCCCCGACACACTGTCCACCGAACGATGAAGCACAAATAACGAACATCGTCGATTCATGAAGCTGGCTAATCCAACCTGCTACCAGTGACCCTAACCAAAAACGCGCGAAAACACCAATTGAACTGAGCGCACTGAACATAAGTGTAAACGTCTAACACCGAGAAGATTTAAATTGTATAAACACTAACATATTAGAAATCATAAACAGGAGAAATTAGCGATATAAATAGGCGAGAGGAAGAAATTAGAGTCGTCGTAGTCGTCGTCGTCAGAGGTTAGATAGACGTTAGAATCGTTAACGTTCAAGTTAAGGAAAACATTATAATTCGAGCCATCAAGACAACGTGAGGGACCGATTTTGTACTTGAAGACCGGAGGGACTCGGTTCGTGGCTTATCTAATTTTTATATATAGAACGAGGAACTGCTCAGGATAGGATCTTTTCTATTAAAGAATGGCATATGTATTAACCAAATTAGGTCTTTCTTCATTGAGCTCCGGGTTTTGAGAAGTGACCTCACAAACCATCCTTTGAAGAAGAAAAAGAAAAGCAAATTCGCTCAAATAAGTTGTGTTGTACGAACCGCGCAACCGAAAACCGCAGAAGCATCGAAACAATCAATGTATGAAAGCGCACCACGAAACGAAAGAGGCACTCCTCGAGCAGCCTACATGTCGAAGAAGACAAGCAAGTCCTCGACTTCCGAATCCGTTTTCCTAATCCCGATATCTAAGGAACGGCGTAAGTCGTTTCACTGTGTTAGCACAGCTTTCGATTTCTTAAAAAACGACGTAAGTCGCTCCACCGTCTTAGAACAATCTCTGATTTCCTGAGGAACGATGTGAGTCACCCCGCTATATCAGCACGGCTTCCGGTTCCTAAGGAACGACGTCCATTGCTCTGCCGTGTTAGCATAGCCTCTGATTTCCTGAGGAACCACGTAAGTTGCCTCGGCGAGGAAAATCATGCCGATTTATGTAACGGTATGTGTAGAAATCAAAAAATATATACGTATAAAATAACACTCGTAATCAATTCAGTACACTTGTAAAAATGTCCGGCCAGTTTCCTTTAACCTGAACAATTAATAAATAGTCGTAAATTAGTGTAACATATAACTTATGTTGTTAACCTATCTTTTCTCATGATTTCTGTTATGTTAATTTTATGGCTATTTATTAATTGTTCAGGTTAAAAGAAAGCGTCTGGACATTTTTACAACATATGTACTTTTATTTCACATTTTACGACATATATACTTTTATTTCAACATATACCGTTACATAAATTGGCATGATTTTTCTCGCTCCTGACATCATCAAAAAAGAACAGCCAAAGTGAGTATTCAGGGGTCATAATAATCAACATCGATAATCAATTAATGTCATATGCAGTTTAGCAACAGTAATCTCATAGGACCTTTTGCTGATAATAATTTATATGAATTACGATATTTGGAATTTTTAAAGAACGATTTACTATTACTAATGGAGGATGTTAATATTGAAACTCGCCGAATATAGTTCTAACAAAATAGTGCGCAGTTTCATAATCATAAGCTTACGACGCAGTACCTAAATAGCAATTTCCCAAATCGTTGGATAGGTCAATTTGAACCGGTACGTTAGCTATCGTGACCATTAGACCTTATCTCACCAGACTATTTCTTATGGAGATACCTCGAAAACTGTGTTTACACAAATCAACTCACCACTCGTGATAAAATGATGAATCAAATTAGAACTGCATACGATAACATCAACTGAAAGAAAGTTTCGCAGGCGTGTATTTTTGTCTTCAATAAAACAGGTTTTTTCTTGAGCATCTTATAAATATTTAAATAACTAACATATTTCTAGCATATTTTAAATAACTAGTATACATCTAAAGAGAAAGTTTTAAATCGTAAAGGAGAGGAGGTTGCGGGCCTTAGTCTTAATCCCTTTAGCGTGACTAATAATTCCATTCATACTGGCACGATAACCTCACTAACAGTCTGACTGACTGACTAACTGAAGGATAGATTGACTAACAAATTGACTGATTGAATAACGGACAAAGACATGGGATCAGATTCCCCCTACATCGACATCATTAATCCTGGGTAACACCGGAAGCAGAGAACGATTGAATAAAAAAGTCGAAATTACTATCATTATTAGAAAAGTTAAGAACACTTTTTTTTAGCGCGAGCGTGATATAACAAATAGCGCATTGGTCTGCGACACTAAAGGTCCCGGGTTCGATTCTTGGCAGAACCGGAAAAATTTATACGTTCGTGTCTCCTCTGGACGGTCTAGCAAGCTACCAGAGTATATTTACCTACACAATCTCTCACAAAATATATGTCATTCGGAGTCAGCATTAAATTGTAGGTCCTATATGATTATATATCATCAGCATGCGCACTACAAGCATATGAGTGAGAGGAAAAACAGGCCTAAGGCCTAACGTAAGAAGAAGAAAAATACTTTTTTACTGTCTTTAATGGAACAAAAATTTTTTTTTGGTGAGATGTAATTTTTTTAAGATTAGACAACTTATATATACGTATAACGGGACCTTATCGTAAAACGGGATGCTTTGGAAATGGTGTGGTGACTATAGTACAAAAACACTTCAAATTTGAAATTTTATAATAAACTCATATATTGCTGTCATGGAAAACCATGATTCATTAGATTTAGCTCTTGCTACAAATCGAATCTGGTATTATCCATAATTTCTCAATACGCGTTTCTTGCTTTAGTATATTTGATTAAAACTTTATTAGTGACTGTAACATATCTTAAATAAACTTCCTGTGGTTTCAATCAGTAAATAATAACTAAATAAGTAAGTAAATAATAACTGAATAAGTAAGACTAATTTTTATTCTTTATTACGAGTTTACGTTGAAAAAAATTCAGTATCTTTTTTAAAATATTATTTATTTTTAAAAATCTAAAGCAATTGATTTTAATAAGGTGACTTTAGTACAATGGTTTTTATGTTTATAGGCTACAGATTATTAAATTATAGTTTCCAGAGTTTATGTTAAGAAACTAGTGAGCCATCTCTATCGAAATTACTTTCTAAAAAAGTTGAAAGAGGCTACGAAAAAATTATGGGACGCGCTTTATCAATAAAGCAGCTGAAGAATAAATCTTGCTAGATGATATCATGAATTTCATCTTTTTACATAGTTTTGTTATCAAAAATTATTAAAATTTTGATTTGCCTTCTTTTGAATATAGAATCTCAAAAAATACGATAGTGATGTATTTTAATACGAGGAAGAAAACTGTATTAACACTATGCCGTCCGGTGGCACCACGTTGGTGTCATGCGAAAACTATCGGGCAAATGCCGGTGGCACCACGTTGGTGTCATGCGCAAAACTATCGGGCAAATGCCGATGACACCACGTTGGTATCATGCGATTTATGATCTTCCAAGGACCTCGAAAAATCGCCGGCGACAAGCGAAATGATCTGAGTCAGTCCTACCGGCGCCAAACAAAAGAATCCCGATTAGACGTGCGGACGGCATAGTGTTAAGTGAAACCGAAGGGATTATTTCAAAAAGCCCTGCAGGAAGTTAGGTAGTTTTCTCGTCTAATGAGATCATAGTTGCACAATTAACAAGACATTTTACTTTCAAATCCATCTTAGATTCTTTAAATTTCGTTTTAAAAGTTTTTATGTGGTATATTGCTAATTTTAGTCATTATAGACAAAATATCTTAAAGGTGACCGCTGAGGGTTTTCGGCCTTTTATAAATCTAGGATCGAATTAAAAATTTGTCTATATAGCCTCTTTAGCAAACCTATAAACAGTGAACTAAGTGAATAGAATTGGCACAGAAATTAGTAGAGATCGCAAGAAAAAGGTGCCCCATAGTTACTCCATTTCACAAGGTAAGATTGGTACAATAAAAACGTTCTTTTTTATTCCCTGATATAAATTAAATTTCAAAATGTTTAAGTCAATTTAAAGCTGAACCATGTAGCTTTCATCATGTAAGAGAATCAAAACCATATTTTCATATATAACGAAATTATCAGTGAATATACATGAAAGTTGTCCCATAGTCATCCTGCTTTACAGTACTAATGAAATAGTGCGTTAAATAAAAAATGTTTGAAATGAACTTATTTGTTCGTAAAAGAGTTAACTATCCTATGATATGCTACACAGTCCATTCTTCCTATGCTGTTTCCAAAGTTGATGCCATTATTACTAACCACTGTTTCGAAAAAGAAGCTGATAATATTACAATCGTTTGTCACGCACGTGCGCGTGCACACACGCGTGATTTACATTCTAATTTTTACTCATTATATATAAAAAATGAATTGATAAAATTTTTAAAATCCAAAAGATTAAATAGCTATCAATATATGTAAAATTGTCTCACATTAGTTCAGTTATCTTATCGCTATTTTCTATTCATTCTATTTATAATATTATATTAATTGAACTACGATTACCTCGGATTAAATTCCTGAGCGTAGCAAAGTGCGTCAGCGAGAATCAGTCTGCCCTCTGCATCTGTATTATCCACGATAATAGTCTTGCCGTTCATCGCTTGCACCAAGTCGCCCGGCTTTGTCGCATGTCCAGACGGTAAATTTTCCGTGAGCGGTATCAGTCCGACAATGTTTTTCTTCAATTTGAGCTCCGCCGCAGCTCGAATAGTAGCGGCTACACAAGCAGCACCGCTCATATCGGCGCGCATTTCATCCATCTCTGATGGCGGCTTTAAACGATCGGGTTTATTCAAGTTTCTCTTTCTCTTTATATCTCTTTAAGGCTCTGGAGTAATCTGCTAAGAATTTCGCATTGGCGACATAGTTTAGAATGATAAAAAGATGAACTAATAGAATGCGGCTCAGCGCTACAAATGGTTCAAAGTGTTTCTCCTTCTTCATCTATCTTGTTAATCCGAATAAAAGAAGAAAAAGAAGGAGAAATCTATATGAAGAATGGCGTGTTGCCAAACAACGAAATTTTTTTTGTATTCCATTTTTTCTACATGAATAGACCTTATTTCATGCTTTTTATTGGCTATTTATTGGCTGTCAGGAGGAGAAAGGACAGTTTTCATCTATTTTTGTAAGTGTCTTCTGCAATCTCAAATATTGTTTTATCCCGATATCTCTTTATTTACAAATGACACTATGCAATATTTCTCAACATGTCATTTCTAGCCTATGACGAATCTAATATGGTCATAGCGACTACTCCGGAACCTTAAGAGCAGAGGAGCGACTTACTTTAAGACTGATACCACCGGCGTCGAAGGTGACTCCTTTACCAACAAACGTTACTGGAGGTTCGTTCGGATTTTCGGCGCCTTTATAGTTGATCTCGAGGAACTTGGGTGATTCGCAACTTCCTCGCGCAACACTGAGGAATGAACCCATCTTCTTCTGTTCGGCCCAACTCTTGTCATGCACCTGGACGTCGACCCCAAATTTCGTCAACACATCCAAAACTCGTTGCGAGAATATTGTGGGTGTCATCAGATTCGCGGGCGTGTCCGCAAGTTCGCGAGCCCAATTTTGTGCCTGAGCTTTGATAATACCCATTCGCCATTCTATCCTTTAAAATAATTAACTCAATTTCATACAGACATCTTCCCGTGTTTGGGTGAGAATATAAAGAAGATACTCACTCTCCTTCCTTTCCATACAAAGATATCTTTGGTAACTTCTTCTTTTTTTCCTCATGTTTATATCCTTGATAGAGCCACGTACAAAGACCAGCTCCCTCAGCAGCAGCTTCTGCATCGCCTAATGTCTCTAGATTGATGTCTTTTATATCGACATCATTCAAAGCACGGCAACCCGCTGAAATAATATAATATTCTATAATAAAATACACGATAAAGTGTTTTGTAACAATAAAATTATAAATATCATATTTTAATTAGAATAATATGGTTTATAATATTATAAAGCGCTAAAAGCGCGAAACTAGTATCTTTATTTTTATAAATATCTTGTGTATCAAGATATAAATATCGGAAGTATTCAAGCCTAACGTCAAATTTAAAATATGATTTGGAGAAAGAGATTTGAGTAATACAGGATAACAGTTCCTACCACATCTTAATTAATGAGGATTACCTGCTGCGGCAGTACGCACGTTCTCTTTTCCTTCGTGGATTTCTTCAAGTTTATTGATACCAAGACTCTGTTTTCCCAGACCAACTACTGCGACACCGTTATAATCTGTTTCATCCAATCCCCAAAACACTCTGGCATGGCCTTTAGGGATTTTTGGACCTGCTCTGTGATTTAAAATTGATAAAAAGATCCAATCATAATAAGTAATTAATTTGCTTTAATAAATAAATGCATACGATATAAATATGAAACAAATTCAAACACAAATTTGTGAATTTATTAATTGTAATAGAACCTAAGCATTCAATTTACTTTTCTTTTTAACATTTATCATACATGTTACAGTAATTCGCAATTTCAAAATACATTCTAAAAATATACTATTCTTTATTCTAGAATATTCTTCTCTAGTTACATTTCATACATGACTACATTTGCAATTGTTCTCTTCGTGAATTATAACTATACATTAACGCACAACTGTTATTTTCTAATCTACGATAGAGTTCGTTTTGTACCAGCGTAGATACATTACAGATAGCTGTTCCACATTCATAGTTCTCACTAACAAGTTGAATTTGCAAGCATGTTACAATCTATTTAGTAGTGATTTTATATACAGTACAGTGAAATTTGTATTAGGAAATTTCAATCATTACATATATTATTTATATTGTATTATTATAATAATATAATTTTCTTATATATACGGGATTTATATATAGTTGACATAATTGTGGATATAAACAGACTTATATATAATATTTTTAATAATAAAAAAATTTACGTTAGTACTTGGGACAAAAATAACAGAAATTTATAAGGGAAAATAAAATGTACTCATTTTTTATTATTTTTATATTCCAAAAATTTATGTAAACGATATCTTTAACACAGAATTCATTTTTATATTTGCCTTTTGTACATTTTGGCACATTAGGATTTATGTCGCGCATACACATATACAGATTAATAAACTTTATATTGTTTATAGAATGAATAACTTGTAATATCTCAATCCCTCAATCGTCTCGCCCATGCAATAAAATTAATATATCTTCACAATAATTAATATTCTATGGTAAAATTTTCATATATAGCAATGAAACATTGTACTATATATGAAAGTACTTCAATCAAAATATACGCTATCTGTAAATACTGTTATCATCGCGAGAAAATAATTTGTTCTCAAGATATTGATTGTGCTTTATCAAACTTCTTTAGAAAATTATGCAGTCATAATATTGGAAAATCACTTTAAATTGAGGAGTTCATATTAGTAACCAAAGTAATATCAATACAAATTTTTATGGCTTTTGATATTCTATGAAGACTGAGATTTTACAAAAACTTAGTCAACAATCCCGTATTTAAAAAAACTATAAAGCATATTACGTTATCACGCAATCACATCCCTAATTTAAAGATTGCTCTAGGAAGAACCTATACATAACACATACATAACAATCATATATCCACATAACCTCGCTTTACGCGCTTTAAGTATATACTCATACAATTCTCTTATAATAGGTATTTACAGATAACACATTTACTCGCATTTCATTTTCATAAGGTGCGTACATCTGCATAAAATATAGTTTAATAAACGTGTTTCTATAACATTTCTGGGGAACAAACGTTAAATATTAATAATATAAAATGACGAAATAGCGCCTTAATTTGTAAATCATTGTATACAAAAATATCTCATAATTGTTATTACACAGAAAAACGATTTCTTTGGATTTAATCAATTTTGTTAAATTCGTAAAAGTTGATGTATTGGAATAACTCAATTAATTTTTGATTCAACAATACACATGCGATTTTGCTTTTCAAATGATTGTATTTTTATTCTTTAGTCCAAATAATTTATTGTTTATCTGAAAAAATTATTCCATTTAATTTTTTCAATATATTAACAAATGTAAAAATTCTATTTAAATAGTCTTAAACATTTGACATTTCATTTTTCACATTACTAGTGGTTTCTTTTTATTATTTCATCGAATGCGCCCTTTTATCTTTGCTCGTATATTAAAAAACCAGTGATACCACCATAGCCCTTAGGTTTTTAATCAAATATTGTATTAATTAGTCCAAACAGTAAATTAAACTGAAAAACAAAATGTATAAAACAATTTTTCTTTCAATCAAATATATATTATAAGTATTAATAATATGATTTAATTCAACGAAGCAAACTTTAAAATATAACCAAATAATATATCATTGAATTAGAAACAAAATTTTATTTTCTTCACATAATAGTGTTTTCCATCAAACAACATGGTTCAATCTAATGAAATAATAAAATTTTTATTTAAACAAAATATTTAATATAAAATTATATGTTCACTTGAGTCAAACGAATAAGAATACTAAATTCCAAAAATGGTTTTCTCTGTGTAATAATACGAAAAATTCATTAGTATGATTTAGTCAGTACATTTTGAACATTAGAATTGAATAAGATGAAAAAATAATGATACCAATACCATATTCATACTTATATACAGCACATAATACACAGAGAAAATATTTGTGCTCTTCAGTATATTGAGCATAAATCAGTCAGAGATCACTTCCTGCATAATATTCGCTCATCAGTTTTAATGTCGTACTACCATTCTAACTGTCAAGACACGATATTTGTACCGTTCAATCTGACAGTTTACAATCCATTGTATTATATAAATTCCTTTTACGCACCATTAGAATGAAGTATTACGCTATTTAGAATAATTTCGTCGTTTCTCGTTACTCATCCTCACACTAATTGTAAAACGTAAATAATAAATGTAATTATAAATGTAAATAAGTTTAAGTGTGAAATAGAAAAGAAAAAATAAGAGCAGAAAATATATCAAGAGGACGCAATTACTCGGAAAATAAGTTTATTTTCGTATTAATCGGCTATAGCATTATATACAGTGTCTCAAATATCAAATCAGGCCGAAAGTCAAACCTGGAGCTCCCTTTCCGTTGGGCGGGATCCAGGACCAGAGATATTAAATTCTTCAGTAACGTATAAGTAACACTTCATATATATATTAAATTATTGTTTTTTTCATTTAGATCCTTTTTTAGTCGAGTATCGTTTAACCACCCTCATTTAACGTTCATCCAGTTCTCTATAATTATTTCAAACAAGTTCTAATATTTTGATAATTCCCTGGGAATTAGCAGCTACTACAACATTGGACATCTGTCTCCAACAGACCGCGGACACGAATTCGTTCAAGTCCTCCTCCCTTCTGTCTTGCAACTCCAGTATGCTTCGTACTGCGTCAAATTTGTACGAAAACAGTTGCTTTGTCAAGCCTTTATAATATACATAAAGCGCATTATTCTCTGATCCACAAGCGACATAGTCACCATCGGTAGCGAGGCCAACGAAGTTTTTCTCATTAACATGTCCCACAAAAGAACGTAAGCAAAGTGGATTATTAATGTTCCACATTTTCAACTGAGAATCTGTGCTGGCAGACACGATTTCCTCTTTGTTAATGAATTTAACGTAAGATACGGCTTTACGATGACCCTTGAATATGCATAACGCTTCCTTCATATTACGCAAATCGTAATAGTGCACGCAGTGATCCGCAGAACCAAAGGCCAGGTGACACGAGCTACGCGGATTGAACTTCACACAACAGACATTAGCTTTTGCTTCCAATGATGCCACGGAGTAATCTGTATTTAGCGCCCACAATTTGACACGAGCGTCGTCGGAACCGGATGCGATCAACCTTGTGTCCACGTCGTTAAAGTCCACAGACCAACACCGCTTTTCATGTTCCTGAAACGCTTTAGTGCGCTGACCTGTTGTAGCGTCCCACACAGTCACCGTACCCTCATAATCCGAAGAGGCCAGCATTCCCTTGTGAAAAGAATTCCACGAAACACACGAGATTTTTGAACTTGAGACCATTTCAACACACGGATAGTGAATGTCTACAGTGTCTCGTATAACAGCTCCGTAATCGAATACTTTGATGCGTTTCGTGACACCGGCAATCGCGAAAAACTCATTGTCCTTGTCAAACTCGATGCTAGATACAATGGTGGAATTGTTGAAAATATCTGACGAATAGTTGAGTGTAGCCAGCGATCGCAGTGAATTATACCGCGAGAATTTGACAAGATTCTCGCGAAACACATCCAGACCAGAGCTCGTACTGTGTATACCACCGTGCTGCTGCGCTTCACTTTGCGACGATTGTGATTTCTGGCCAAGCAATAGCTCTTTACCGCGCGAATCGAAATAACATTGTACGAAGTCGTCAAAATGTGCGTGCAATCTTTTCCGACGTATAGCCAGAGTTGAGCCACTTGGAAATTCGTTCTGTTTCTGAGTGGACCCGCTTGGATGATTCGCAAAGAAAGTATCAGTCATGCCAGTTGCCTTATCGCTAGGTTTCACCATATTTGAGTCTATTATATCTATAAGGCCGAGCATCTCTTTCCTGATAGCAGAAACCTGCGCAGTCTCGTGCTCGCTGATTTTTTTCAGATCCTCCACTCGCGGACATTTACTTTGGACATCTTTCAAAATGCTCTCTACCTCCTCCATATCTTTCTTGATTAATGCCACCTCCTTCTGCAACTGATTTTTCTGTTCTTCCTTTTGTTGCAACAAGTGTTTCAAAAATTCGTGCAGCAATTTATTCTGCGCTGTACAAGTCTCTGCTTCGAGCAGATGCTTTCGTTGAGTCAGTACCTCTAACATCACATTCACGTCAGGTAGAGTAAGATTGGCGCTTTCCGCAGCCACAATGTTTCTCAAACCATCACACGCAGAAGACAATGAATCGGTACCTGCTGATCTACGTCTACCATCTGTTGTATAAGAACCTATCTGTGCGAGACCTTTACTTCTTGTTTTGTATTTTGATATTAGTTCATGTAATAGGAAATTCGGGAAAATATCCTGTTGGCTCAACGTGAAACTACATTTTGGACAACGATCTTTGGTTTCTAAAGACTTCACGATACAACTATAACAGAATGTGTGTCCACAACGCGTGATATGCGCCTCGTCGATAAGATCGAAACAAATTGGACACAAGTAATCATTACTCTTATCCTCTAATATTCCGGTTATCCTTTGCAACACATTTGCTGGTTGCTGCTGCTTGTTTGTCTTACCGCTACCTTCGCCTAATCCACCACTGCTCCCTGCGCTACTATCATTTCCCATATTACCATCGCCAAGAGTCGACATTACTACTATATTCTACTTGATTTCCGTTTGTTTCTTGAAGCAGTAATAATTAAGTCAAAAGAATAATTTAAGTCCCGTAGCACCTCCAATTCACATACAGAAATATTCCTAATGGGCACATTCAAGTCGTCAAGCGAGGAAAAGAATTTGTCATTAAGCAGGCAGTATTATATTTTCATTTATAAAGCGCAGCGTGTTTCTAGGAAATCCTTGTGTGGAGCAAGTTGCGCTTCATATCATGTGTATAATACCGTCTCTCAGTCTAGTCACTCCTGAAACAATCAAAATAATGCCAGTGAGCTCGCATAAGGCATAAACTATCGCTCAAGAATTCAAAATTTTCAATAACAAAAAATACTTTATGTGAGAATTTTAAAATAATAAAGGGAAAGCACTTTTGAATGTGTCAGATAAAGCTCAGGCAGCATTATAACAATTGTTTCAGGCTGGAAATGTGAATAAAATATTTAATAAACATATTATTATATTATTGTATGATAACAAAATAAAAGTGAAAGAATAATGTGACAAAGTGCGATGCCAAGTAGGCTCTCTGTAATAGGCTGTAATGGCTTTTTCGAACATGTGAAATCCTTTATCTTCATGTGTATGCTTATTAAACAAATTCTCTCTCTCTCTCTCTCTCTTTCTCTCCCTCTCTCATTCTCTCTATTTTCAAAAAGTACATATATTTTTACAAACTTTTGTAAAAATGCAATATTTTATTAATACTTAGATATATTGTAAATAAATTCATATTGTCTATGTATTCAGAAATTGTTGATCAATATTGTATTTTGTAAAATTGATGATAAAGAAATACTTTCGTTTCATAACACAATATTTATGTATGTAAGAACCTCTACAACTATTAAACATATCTGATAGCTATATAAATAATAGCAATATAAAAGAATATCAATTAATTTTGTTGACAGCAGGAACAGCTTAATACAGAGAGAATAAAATGATTCCTCAATTTTAACTCAATTTATATACTTGAATTTAGTAAACTTTCATCTTAATATATATTCTAGAAGAGTGCACAAGAAAGGCAGTGTTAAAAAGTAACATCCTGCAGTACAATAGTGTAACCTCTAAAATCACACAAAAGCAGAAAAATATTGTTAAATAACATTAGTAAGTAGCAGCAGTAAAAGTAACTTACAACAGGATATATTTCCACAATTGGCCTTTAATAAGTTCATTATATCTGGCTGCCGTCGAAGTAAGTGCAACTTTATTCTCGTCGTCCGTCTCGTACACACCGAGCACCAATCCCTTCTGCCAAAGAATGCAAAATCGTGTTCAAGAATGTAATACCTCCGACAAATGAATATTTTCAATAATTTGGAGCAAGATCAACGATAATCGAACAATAAAAGACAATTGTCATTTGCAGGAAGGAATCACGACATATATTCATACTCAGAATGTCGTAGATATGGATAGTAATCGACTGCATCGATGTTCACTGTAATGTTAGATTTTTTTCCAAAACTTGACGAAAATTTTGCATTTTATCGTTTTAGCAATAATGCCGAATCAATCAATGATACAAGCAAGTTTCCGCGATTACCTTCATGGTTGATACGCTGGCAAATGTACGTAAACGTGAATTTCCGTGTGCAAATATCTTAGCTCTGATAAGATACAATGCCATAATTCGTTCTCCGCGAGCACATTTAGACATATATATGTAAAGGTGCACAAAATATATATATCGTCAGTAGATACAATTACGAAACCAAATGAATATATGACGCAGAACGGTAACTCTAGATCTTTACGACAATCGGATCAGACTTCCAACGTATCGCAGAAAGGCATCCAATCGATAATATAGAAAATTCCCTAGACTAATCCGATTTAGGTTGCGCTCGGAAACCTCGCATGCGGGGTGTTTTTGTGATTCCGGTGAGAATATGGAGATAGAAATAACAAAAGGATATCCCCTCACGGCCTGGCTAAGCTATATATGTGATACTACTATATGGCCAGAGTAAGAGAGAAGTCCTGTCTCATAACCACGGTGCGGGAAAATATTTTCCTCTCTTTTTGTATGTATTTTGAACGTAATGCGCATGCATCGGATTGACGTCTCTGCCAATAGAAAAATAAAATATATTTTTGCGCAAGTGTGTGTGTATATATATATATATTAGGTCTACCGGAAAGTTCTGTCCGTTTTTTAATTAAAAGAAAATAATACATTTTCAATACATTTATTAATATTTACTGAACAATATAATTTCCATTGTTACTAATGAAATACAATGGTAAAAAGAGACAACCATATATGTTTCAAACGAACACGTTCATACGTGTTGCAACTTCAGATGAAATTATCGAATACAACTTTCTGGTAGACCTAATACAAATATACTTATACTTATTCTCTTTATTCAAAGTAATTGTAACAAACAGAACACTCGTAAACTTTCAGGAATTCTCAAAATATTCAACTGACAAGAATATATATATATATATATATATATCATTTCCTGTTTTCGCTTCTGAGACGGTTCCTTCTTAAAGTGAAAATACACAGTGCGTAATAGAACTGCAAAATAGAGAATGCGTCATAAAAGCAACCAATTAGCGTTATTCCGCTCTTTTCTATCACGCAAATTTTGTGCTATGTTTACATGGTACGTCAAAGAGATGTGAATGACGCATCTAAGATAAATATAATTTGGAAAATAACTATTACTTTAATATTATAATTACTTAATAATATAATTTCTCTAATTATAAAAACAATTTATTTTACTTTATTTTAACAATTATTTATTTTACAACAATTTATTTTACTTTATTTACTATCACTTTATTTTAATACTTTGCTTATTAAAATGAAATATAAATTCTCAAATTGTAAAAACAATTATCACTGCTTTGGCTTTAATGTTTTTCAATTAATATTTACAATTTGAAAACAATTCTTTAAATTGCTTTAACGCATTTACGGTCCTTTTTCCGCATCGTGTGAACAGGGTACACTGAAATCGTGCGTAATGCGTCATTGGCCGGTATTTATAGTCGGGTCTTATATTTAAAACTGCCTTAAGTTTATCTATAGATGCTTCGTAGCTAATGAAATAAGCCGTAGAGCATCTGAAGATAAACTAAAGACTGTTTTAAATATAAGATCTGACTATGAATACCAGCCATTGTCCCTATATGATTGACAATTATATTATACATTTATTGATATGCTATCTATCCCGAATTTTCTATTCCGCAGTTTTATTACATACCGTGCAATTTTACCCTTATAGGCAGCGTAGGGCGACTGATTATATAGTAATGTTATATATATTGGATACACAGACGTAAGGGGGGAGTAGTTAGCATCATATTAGTGTGACCTATCGAAGCGCGACATTTGAAATAGTGATGAAAGCAAAAATAGAAAAATTCATAAATAATATTTATAAATTACACACACACACACACAACACACATGTTTATATATATATATATATATATTTATTTATTTATATTGTATATATAACATGTTATGATAGTATATGATATATTATAATAGTAATGAATATTTTGCTATGCAGTATAATATGAACATGCTTCATCTGATTGTGGCCTTTTTATGTATCGATTAATGTAGCTTGCAATCAAAGTTGATACTCGAGAAATGATTCTCGAAATAGTAGGTTGTTAAATTTATATTATATCCCTTCCAATAAGCTGTAAAAGTAAAGATAATATATTTTTTAAACCTTACTATCATATTATTCAAATCCGATTTTATATATCATGCACCACTATTTAATACAAGTATAATTAGATTATAATATACTTTTATTATTACTAACCTGAAAACTTACCGATGAATAAAATCGTAAACAAACTAATAGTTTCATAACGGGTGATACTGGCAAACGGTTATTTTATTTTGCAAGTTCTTCGTCCATAAGTAGCAAAAAACCGGACATTACGGAATCTTTCATGAAACAGAATCTTCTTTTAAATTTCCAATCGTTGTAAAAGTGAAACAGATTTTGTGTGTAACGGGTATATCGTTTAGGAGCACGTATTTGTATTTCATTTTCTTCTTCTTCTTCATTTGAAAAATTAATATCTTGAATTTCAAGATTTACAGGATTTTATAAATCCATTATTTCACAATGAAGTATAATTTTCACTATAGCTCATTACACTTATTGCTCAAGTTTTCTTCGAACACGTCTTGGTCAAGATTGTCTTGTTTGTCGATGTATACGTTAAATAAGATGATCTGAAATGATTATGGATACATAAATAATAAGATAACCTTAATCCTATGCTTACGACGAATAAGAAACATTTATGAAACACATTAAGGCGTTCTAAAAAAAATCATCTTGGATTACCTTATCCAAGGCCATACCTTTGCCTTTAGATTTTGCTCAAGTCTGCTTATTCTTCAACTAGAGAATCTAGAGAACGCCTTAAGACGAAACTTAAGGTAGTCTTCGAAATAAGATTCGACCATGAATATGGGCCAATGTGTATTATCGCATCGTGGGCTAGAGAGAATCTAGAATAAGTGAGGCAGATTCGCTGGAAGTCCGCCATTAGGTGGGTAACTCTTGATGACATGCGAAAAGTTTAATTTCCTTAAACTTCAGATTCCGATTAATATACATATGTGTACTTGTTTAAATTATTTTATTATAAAATACAGTTAAAAAATGAACTATTTACTGTTTTACATTGGTGGAATTATTCACACACAATAATATTTTGCGAATATATTATAGTATTACAAATGGATATAGACAAAATTAAAATATTAGTAATACAATAAAAGAAAATTTGTTACATATTTTTATTTTGCCATAAATTTATGAAATGTTATTTATGTACAATTTATAAATGTGTACAATACAAAATTGAATGGAGTACGAGATTAGCATAGTCGTTTCCCAAAGCTAAATATTTTCATATGCTCGTGTCTTCTCGTAGAAGGCAACGGCAAACCTCCGTCACCAATATTGATTATCCATTTTACTCTTTATTCTAGGTCTTCAGGAAATTTGTACATTTTTACACTTTTCCTGTTATATTATGACAACCCTTTGCTTTACAACCTGTCATCTAATCACAAAATAATGTATAATTTATGACAGAGAATGTTTGAGTAATGATCTTAACATGTCTGTAATATATGTGTGAATACGTTAACACATTAACGGCGGGCGATATTTTGTGTGATCATAAAAACTTTAAGGTACAGTCGAGCTAAATTGTTTTACTACGACTCCCGCCTTTAAGCCGCAGTCGAGCTAAATCGTAGTACTACGACTCCCGCCCTTAATGTGTTAACTCTAGAAAAGTAACTCTAAAAATCCATGCGTGAAAAAGTAAACCCCTGTAAAAATTACAGGGCTATTAAAATTTAATTTTTTATGAGGTTATGGTGATGAAAATGAAATATGTTTATAATTAGGAACATTTTATTGTCATTTTAGACTTTTACAAACATTTTTCAGTCTTGTGTTATTTGAAGAGGAACAATATATGTAAGAAAAAATAAAACGCAACTTAAATAAAATTCTTCAACACAAACTTTAATGACATTTTTCAATACGAACTTAAATAAAATTTTTCAAAAGAAACAAAGAAACAAAACAAAATATTATAAATAAATCGAACAAGGCTAAAATTATTTGGTGTTATTACAGACTTCATCTTCATAGATCACAGTTACTTGCGCAGTCTTCAAGTTCATCTCGCACAATATCTTGGATGGCAAAAATGATGCGGTCTTCGAGATCAATTTTCTCCAGCTTGTCTAACGACTCTTCCAAAACCTCTTCATTCTCAGAATCTATCCGCTCTTCAACTTCCAAGTCAATGATGTCATCTTGTTTTTCTTTTGCTTCCAACTCTAACAATAATAACAAAATTTCTTCCTCTTTCACTACATTCCGTGCCATTTAAACTGTAAAAAGTAATCTGTAACATGATTAAACTAAAGTAAAATTTTATTTATTTATTTATGCGCAATGATGCACGAAAGCGTATACCTCCGTAAAAATTACGGGCAACATCAAACGGAGGAGTATATACCTCCGTGATAATTACGATGGAAAGTTATGCTACAGGATAAACGCCGTAAAAAATACGGTGTAATTTACTGCTGTTGGAACCCCACGCCGTACCGGCTGATCGTTGACCCATGCCTTCGCTGGACATGCAACACTGAATGCCGATAGGAACATTTCCACCTCCATAGCTCCTTCCTCCCCACCATGCGACTACAGAGGCCCGACAAACCAACCAACGTCCACCAATGAACGAACCCGTAAAAATTACGGGGGAATACCCAACTAGGGTTAAACGCACTTCATGATTTTATATGATGTATTCATATATTAATATTATATAATATTATATAATATTACAAATATATTTTTATAAATATTATTTTTAATACTCCTGCGTCATCTAACGTCCAGTTATTCCAATGTATCATAATATGCATTCGCAAATACGTCCGCAGATCCGTCTTGTAAAAAGTACAAAACATGTAAAGAGTACAAGTACCACGAACACTATTTATTTTATATATATATCACATTTGCAGAAACTGCCTACCTAATGGCGGCACCAATCAAAGAAGAGAACACGATCCGTCTCTCAAATTGGGTTCGGGAATTTATACTGTGTGCACACCAGCTGTTCTAAAACATCACTCTATGGTGTGCTTTTGTGATTATAGTGACTGAAGTCACGAGAGCATACTAAACAGTGATATTT